GTTTTAAAAATTAATATAAGATTTATGGAACAAGACCCTGAAGGCAGATATATTATACTCGTCTGTACAATTAATGATGAATTGTTTACTTTGGTTAATGTCTACTTGCCCAATAAAAACCCTCTGAGTCTCTTGAGACAAGTGTTGAGTAGAAAAAGTAGGTGAAGGTTTAAAGATTTATGTCAGAGACTTCAATTGTACACATGACCCCTTTATTGATAAGTTATCTGAAAGGAAGATCTCTTGGGATAAATAAGTTTTTGGAAATGCAAAAACTTTTAATAATTTGTTGAAAAAAGAAGGGTTATTTGACATATGGAGAGTTAATAATCCCGCTGCAAAAGAAGTTACATTTTATTCCTTACTTTTTGGGGGGAGAATTAAAGTTGATAGATAGAGCACATAAAATAGAAATTAAACCAGTAATATGGTCAGACCACAACAGTGTGTGTCTGGAATTACACAAAAATAACTTAAAAGGCAATAATAATATAACATAGAGGTTGGACAATACTTTATTAAAAAATAAGGAATACAGGGAACATATAGACAGAATGACAATGCTTTATTTTCAAGAAAATAAAAATGGACAGGTAGAGGAGGACACACTATGGTGTTCATATAAGGCTGTAATAAGAGGTCACTGTATTATGCTAAAGAAATTAAGGAATAAAAAAAATGGAGTGAGTCTAAAAGATCTCCATATTCAACTCCATAATTTAACCAAAAAAAAATAATGCCAACCCGAGCAGAGAAAATCAGCTAATAATAGCGAACATCAAAATAGAGATTCAAAATAATATATGTGAAAAAATTAAAAGAAATATGTTAAAATTAAATGTAACGGACCGTTTTGCACACAAAACATTTTAGGCCTTATTCCCCTTTCCAGATGCACCGACAGCTACTGTAAGCACCCATCTCCCGAACTGCAAACTACACAAATTCACCAACTCCTGAACAGGAAACCCACGAATACTGGAAACAGCCGAACAGGAAAAGCCTACACTCAACTTACACTCCTGGCAATCGGCATACAATCCAATTCCCCAAATAACTAGATGACACTTCGTTTTGAGGGTCAAGCAGAATCTGGTTTACTGGGGCTAACTGCCCGGCTTCTATGCAGGTCTCCCACCTGGTGGACACTCCCCAAGGGGACCAGATGGGAGACTGGAACACAAAGGGTAAAAGGATCAATCACAGACTTACACATTTCAACAATCCCACAATGCATCACAATCCCTCCTCTCTGGCCTGGAGATAATTGGGAAGTAATCCAATTATCGCCAAGGACAGAGGCAAAACTCCATTACACACATTTTAGTAAAAAGACATAAAATTACACACGGTTACCTTTATCACACAAAACACACACATTCTACATATCCCCAGATAGCTTAGATCTGAGCGCACATTACTACCGAATGGCGCTCAGATCACATACATACAGTTCAATCGCCATGGAGCCAAAGTCTTTCCCATAGTCTTTCATTACATGAATAGGCTCCATGGCATGGCTAAAACCTAATTGCCTAGCTGTATGCGAAAAAAAAAATGCAGAGCGGGGAAATAGTTGCCCAGCACTTTAACCGGCACTTTAATTGTGCAAGGGGAAGTAAGGTATGTTAAACGTGTTGGCCACTTAGGGTAGACTAAGTGTGGGGTAGAGGGGGTAATCACTAGGTTGCATGAATAGGTGAGACTTCCTAAGATAATGCTGCAAGAAGGACGTGGTGGTTGTGGGACAGTATGTGAGACCCAAGGGACTGTGCAAGCAAGAATAGTGGCTAAACAACTAGATGCAAAGTTAAAGTGACTAGTGCCCATAAAGTACAGCCTGCCTCACATATGTGTTTAAAACGGTTGATCCAAAAGAAGGCGAAAAACCCAGTTTGAAGCGCTGCCAAATTGCAACATGCTGGAAAAAAATTCCTTCTTGACCCCATAATGGCAGTCAGATTTCCCTTGGATCAAGCAATTATAGCCCTACATGTAAAGGTTGGTGCTTGGTTCAAAAGGACGGGCATCTAAAAGGAATGATCGTGATTGAAATAATTGGATGCGGATGGGAAATCTGTAAGATGTGAAAAGTGTCCCAGGTACCGGAAATGTCTTGTGCAAGGTACTAATCTGGTATGCAGACATGAAAAACTGCGTATGAAAGGTAAACCCGTGCAGCATGTGAAGTAGTAATGCAGATAGGTAGAGTAGATGTAAGTCAGAGGTGGCAAAAAAAAAAAAACAACTGCAGACAACAAATCAAAAGAGACAGCAACAGAAAAGGCCCTCAAAGGAGAAGAAGGCCCTAACACATGTACCGCGAGTGCTAGTAGAAAGAGCCAGACGTGAAAGATGACGACCACAAGCTAACAAGGCTGGCAGTCCGTGAGCGGATCGCGAAAACGCATGTAACAGCAGCGGCTACTGGAGAGGCCGTGGGCAGAGCTAGGCGGAAAGCGTAGAGGAGGCACAGGAGAGATCATATGAAAAAGATGCCTGAAGTCTGGCTCGGAACCATCCAGAGCGGCAGACGCCAAGTTGTCATCCGAAACCACCCCATAGACAACAGTAGCGGAGAAGAGCGAAATCGGGGCCCCCTCCAGCAACAGCGTAACCCGTGGAGATGGACAGACGCTGAGAGTACGGCTGTCCGAAAGGCTGACGGGGAGTGAAAAAAAAGGTGGACTTGCGAGAACCGCAGCGAAGCGAGGAAGAGACCAGGATGCTAAAAGAAGGTAGGAGTAGCTGAAACTCCACAGCATGAAGAGACGAAGAAACAGAGCATAAGCGACCCAATGTGTGTGTGTGAGCGTGCGTGTGTGCGTGCGTGTCATGTGCTGGCATACTAGCTAATGCCAAAAGGCGAAACAATTAGAAAACTAGGTTTGGTGACAGGTGAGGCCCTGCTAGATGCCAAGCGGCGTTGAGAGGCTCTATCTATGCGTTGGCGCGAGGGGATAACGTGGCCACTGAACGTTGTGGCAGGGTGTTGGCCTCTCTGTGACAGATAAACATAAGATAGAATGGGAGTGACAGGTGAGGCCCTCTCTATGCCACAATGCGAGGTGACTAACTATGATTTGGCCCGAGGGGCGTAGTACCTCCGAGTATGAGGATGGGTGTTGGCCTCGCGGGACCACTAACCTAAGGTGGAGAAGCCGGTGGGGGAGTAAAAAAAAAAAAACTAGTGGACTCCTAGGACCCTGAGAGCCAGCCACAGCTAACTAAGAGGGGAGAAAAAGGTAGTGTAAGAGAGGACGGAATTGATGAATGCGTATGGAAAATGTGAGGTAAACGAGGAAGTACCGCAGAGCCGACTGTAACTGAAATGCAGAGTAAGCCCGACAGAGACCAGGTGGTCCGGCCGCATGGAGCATGCCCAGCAATAGGTAATAGAAATACGAATTCGATGCAAAGCCCACGGGACCCAGTGCGAGCATGCGTGAGCTTGAGCGTGTGTGTGTGTGTGTGCGTGCGCGTTTGTGAGCTGGCACACTAGCTAAAGCCAAAAAGGCGAAACAATTAAGACTAGTTTTGGTGACAGGTGAGGCCCTGCTAGATGCCAAGCAGCGGGAGAGGCTCTATCTATGAGTTGGCGCGAGGGGGTGACGTGGCCACTGAAAACGTTGTGGCGGGGTGTTGGCCTCTCGGTGACAGTTAAACCATAAGATAGAATGGGAGTGACAGGTGAGGCCCTCTCTATGCTACAATGCGAGGCGACTAACTATGAATTGGGGCATCGTACCTCTGAGTATGAGGATGGGTGTTGGCCTCACGGGACCACTAACCTATGGCAAAGAAGCCAGGGGGAATTATAACTAGTGGACACCTAAGACCCTGACAGCCAGCCACAGCTAACTAAGAGGGGAGGGAAAGGAGTGAGAGAAAGGATGTGCCTGAGGAACGTGTGTCGAAGATGTGGGGGTGTACAAATGAGCACCGCGGGGCCGACCGCAACTGGAGTGCAGGGTAAGTACGTCAGAGTCCAGGTGGTCAGGCCGTAAAGGAGAAAGAAAAAGGAAGCAAATAAGCAGCATATAGGAAACCCAATGTGTGCTGGCATTCCAGCTAATGCCAAAAGGAGCCAGCCACAGCTAACTAAAAGGTGGAGGGTAGCGAGAGAGAGAGAGAGAGAGAGAGAGAGAGAGAAATAGAGGGGGAGGGTTCATACCTGAGGAACATAGAAGGAAAGTGGGGGAGGGAGGGGGGAGCAGGAAAACAATGAAGCACGAGGAGCATGGCAGGCAAGCGTGGCCCAGTCACGCAGAAAAACGAAAACTTGAAAGAAGAACGCGGGTCAGACTCTGCGACGGGACCGAAAAACCCTGAATACAAAAAACTGTAATTAAAAATTTTGAGCAACATACTCATCCAAAGCAAAAGGTTTATGACGTGAAAAACGCACACTACAAATAAAACCTCAGCAACCAGTCTGCCCGGGTCTATAGAGAAATAACTAAACAGTGAAATGCGAAATCCTAACATACGGTGTTCGCCAAAATCAGAGCGGTACTCGCTAAATATGCCGCTGTAGGGTTAAAGCTTAGCAGATAATACAAAGGAGAAGGTTGGAATGTGGGGAGCAGCATGAGCAATAGAGGCAAAGGCTGGAAAGTGGGTTGGGCGGGACAGACAGTATTATATTAGAACTGGTTGGAATGCGATGGTGCAGGATAGCATCATAGAGGAACAGGTTGGAATGGTGGGGAAAAGCAATACTATATTGGACAAGTAGAAAATGTTTGGGGTCAGGAAGCACAGCAGAAGAATTAGGGGTGCAGGTATTAATATAGAGAAGCATGCTTGAAACAGTGGGTAGAGGCAATAGTATAGTTTGCAATGTAGAGGAACAGCTGTAATACAGAGGCAGCAAAAGTGCAAGCTGAAATACTGAAACAGTAAAAGGGGGAGGGGAGTAGGCTGAAATGTGCGGTGCCAGGCCGGACTGGGCGCTGTAGAAGCAGCCAAGGAATGCTGGGGTTACCGCAGTTACTTACAGGCTGCCGGAAAAACAAGCCCAGTGTGAGAAGCACATGGCTGCAGAGAGCAGCCGCATCCCGTCCATCCTGCTGGGTATTAACGGCAACCCAACCAGGGGAACGCTCGTACTCCAAGTGAGGCCACAAGGACTGCCGGTAAGCGAGCATGGCGTTGAAGAGGTGCGGAAGGTTTTGGTGCATCGAGGCTGTGCAGCCACACCAGCATGTCCGGAGCAGAGCAGAACGAAAAAGGCAGGCCAGGTGAGGAGAACCACGAGGGAAGCGGATGCCGACCGGATATAGCGACATGCGAGTCGCTTAAAAGAAAAAACGTACGGGACGGAGGAAGGTGAGTAGGGGGGGTTTAAATAGGTACCATGCCCCTCCCACAACTGCAGGCCAAGCCTTAACATTTAAGAATTTTTCCAGTTCACTTTGAGTTCCCTTCCAGATTAGGATAACGACACCTATAAAACGTTTCCAAAGGACCAGGTTTGCAACCCAGCTATGCCCCCTCCACGCAGAGTTGGCTTCCCAATCTCGCATGTATATGTTGGCATAGCTGGGGGCAAACCTGGTCCCCATGGCTGTGCCAGTTTGTTGGAGGTAAAATACATTGTTAAAGGAGAAATAGTTGTGATATAAGATAAAGTGAATGCCGTCCAATACAAAGTTTCTCAAATCATTTGATGTATTAATATCCTCCTTCATAATTTTCTCTACCGCTAAAAGGCCCAATTCATGTTTAATTATTGTGTATAACGATGTCACATCAATCGTTACCCATATGTAATCTTTTTCCCAATCTCTATTTGCCATCAACTCCAAGATATGGGAAGAGTATTAATATGTCAAACCAAGAAATAGATATTTATCAAGAAACATATAATTTTATAAATGCCAAAACATTCCTATATCTAGGAATTAAAATATGTAAGAATATTAACAGTATTATATGTGTACATTTTTTGGATCTCCTAAAGGAAACTAATAAAAATCTAAAAGAATGGAGAAAATTAGAAGTATCCTGGGGAAGTAGAATAAATATTTTAATATTATATGTCCTGCCGAAATGGATCTATTTGTTTACGATGCTTCCATTAGAAATTCCGAAACCATGGCTAGCAATGATAAAAACGGCCTTTTCAAATTTTGTATAGTGAGGGAAAAAACCCAGAATTAAAAACGCAGTGTTATCAAGATGAATTAAAAATGGAGGTTTAGGATATCCAAATATAATAAATTACTATGAAGCAGGGATTATTATGCATGTCATGGCAAGTCAGCTAAAACAAAATAAAGAAGAAATATGGCTTAGTATAGAACTAGAAGCTGGGTCAAGTAAGAGGTCCTTTAGAATTAATCTGGAACATAAAAAAACTTAATTTATCCAGATCATATATTCTTAAGCAAATTATTCCAATATGGCAAAAAATTATAAAAAAAATTAATATGGATAATAAAATATTTGACTTTCAAAGTTTGAACGTAATAGAAATCAGTATAAACAATATCTCCTTAAAAACATGGAAAGACAAACAGATTGACGCACTTAAAGATCTTTTTAAAGACAATAAAATAAAATCCTTTAAAATGTTGGTAGATGAGTTCCATGTTACGGTCAAAGATATCTTTACCTATATTAGGGTCAAACATTATCTAGAGAATGTTACATTAGTTGCAGAAGGTAATCTGTATGATATATTAAAAACAATTTTACATCAGAATGAAGTAAAGCAGCTGTTTTCCAGACGTGTCAACATTTTAGAGGGCATATGTAATTCAGAAACCCCTACTGCCATTAAAAATTGGAATATTGATTTAAAGAAAAGTATAGATGTAAAGGAATGGATATCCTCATCCTATAAAATCAATAAATACGTCAATTTGCTTTCATTAATAGAAACACACTTTAAGTTGGTTAATTTATGGTATATGACGCAAGTTAAAATATCAAAATTTGCTATGGGAACTAATGATCAGTGTTGGAATTGTGGAGAAGAGAAAGGGAACTACTTACATATGTGGTGGTCATGTAAAAAAGTGTTTGTGGTGTGGCAGTGGGCCCAACATATCATATATAAATTATGTGATGTTAAAATATTTTTAAAACCAGATGTAGTGCTATTACACAGTTATTGGCCAAATTTAAAGAAAATAGATCAATTTCTGATCATTCATTGTTTAATGGCTTTTAAGATAGTGATAGCAAGACACTGGAAGGGTGAAAATGCTTTTACTATTAAACAAATAGCTTCACAATTGGCTTACCAAATTAAAATGGAAAAAGACTACTGTAAATGCTTAAGTAAAAACTCCAGTCTTTGGGATATCTGGGATAAAAAAATTACAGAACATGTAAAATCAACAGTAAAATAAGAATGGAACAAGGGTAAATGTCAGCCTGAGAACTCTCGTAGGGTGATGGGGTTTTAAAGTTTTGTGAATATGGTCATTTTGTATTGTATAAGTCTGTAAATTGTTAAGTGTTAATAATTAAAATAAAAAATAAACTGAAAAAAAAACATGATAAATTTTTTATAATTTTCATAAAATATAAATTTTAATATTGTAATTACCCCATGAATAATCTAACATCAAGCAATAGAAGGAGCTTGCTATAAAATGAGAAATAGGGTTGGCAGAAGGTGGGGCATGTAGTGGGTAGAACTAAATGAAAAAGAAATGTTATGTGCAGTTTTAAACAAAATAAAGTAACCCAGTTTGAATTATATGTTTTTACAAATCAGGACATAAAACCAATCATCTGTTTCTTAGCAGGTTTTAAAATTAGGTAAATACAACATCAGATAAACAACAACACAGGACATATTATACAGTTTCATGATTTATTTAACAAAAATAAAATCAAAATGCAGAAGCCATGTGTGAAAACTAGTACACCGTCTGATTCAGTTGCTTGTAGAACCACCTTTAGCAGCAATAACTTGAAGTAATTATTTTCTGTATGACTTTATTGGTCTCTCATATTGTTGTGGAGGAATTTTGGCCCGCTCTTTTTACAAATATTACTTCAGCAGTACACAGTTCTTTTAATGTCCTGCCACAGCATTTCAATCGGATTAAAGTCAGAACTTTGACTGGGCCATTGATTATTTTCTTTTTCAGCTATTCTGTTGTAGATTTGCTGCTGTGCTTGGGATCATTGTCCACTTGCATGATCCAGTTTTGGCCAAATTTGGATCTGTTGGACAGTTACCTCACATTTGACTCTAGAATACTCTGGTATACAGATAATTATTTTAATCTAAACTGGAAATAGAATATTATAGAATTTGTAACACTACATAGCATCTCTGGCACATAAGTAGCCATTGAATAAATCTCCAATGTATGTTTTTATAAGCATGATCTTTACACTCTGCATGGAATAATATGACAGTTCCATGTTACAATTACTCGTGTGGAAATTGTCTTCTCCTTTTTCGAGTTAATATTCTATGTACACATTTTCAATATCTTGTTGGAAACTGCTTAAATAGAGCCTGTTGTAATCTGTATAATTTGCAATTAGTTCAGTTGAATATCAGGTCCGTATTTACACTAAGGTGGACCATCTCCAATTATTCAGTAAGGGGTTAATTGATCTTACCTAGGTGATTCCCCCTCATGTCATCTATTACGTTGTTCAGAACTTACCAATGAGAAGCTGCCACATCACACCAATAGGAGGATTTCTCTCCATATTTAAACTGAATGTTGTGTACTGACCGGTTCCCTTCTGATGAGCAAGGTCGGGCGAAACGCACGCGTCAGGGGTTCCTAGCATGCTGTTTTCATGACCCAGTAGCTAGCACTTGAACTTGCGACTGAGCTACTAAATTGATTAGTTTATCTTCTTTTATTATTTAACCTTTTTTCTTTTCTTTTTTGCCACCACCTTAGCGGCATTAGCTTAGTGGGAATAGCGGCAGGTGCCCTCGAAGGCACAGGGGGATTACTAGCTTTAGGATTTGAAGTATAGCCAGTTGACTATGCAACTGTCATCATCCTGATAAGGTCTCTGTTTACATCCAGACTATCTGAAGGAGTAGCACTAACAGATACCCTATACTCTCGGGATTTAGTACTTAGGGATTCAAACTATAGGACCCATTAGCATTCATAAATCCCCCCTTATGAATCTTTAGACCGACTAGTTCCATCAATTATAACTTTGGTTTAGCGTTCCCCAAGCAGTAATTTTAGCTGAAGGAAGAGATTTTTTCTCCACTGTTGGAGTATAATGCATGCTAAATCACATGTATATATTTTATACCAGTCTTGAACAATACCGACATTTATTTTTATTTATATCTCGTTATTATCTCCATTCAGCAGCTTATCTAATCACCGACTGTTATTTAGTTTCATTTCACGGTTAGGACTTCATACTTGCTAATTTTCTTGTGCGGTCCTAATCAGTCCTGATGAATTGGTATCAAATCTTTAGGCAGACTTGATAGTTTCTCTATATTATTAAGTACCATCTTGCTATTATTTCCATTCAGCAGCTTATCTTATTACCGATTAATTTCACTGTGAGGACTCCACACTTGCCAATCTTCCTGTGCAGTCCTAATCAGTCCTGCTTAACTGGCATCGGATTGTTAGGCAGACTAGATAGTCCATCTAAGTAAGCAGTTGTTGTTCATGATTATAGATAATACACTAGCTTACATTGTGATATGAATCCTTAAAACTAATAGGTATTTTTAAACAGGGTACAGACTTCTAATACCTTTTGTATGTTCACTGTTTCTACACAAGCACATTCACCACACATTAATTTTTGTTATAGTTATTTCAATAAAATTTATTTATTTTACGATTTTAATTAACTCAGTATTATGGCTGGTAGCAATTAGTCCGCTATCTCTGAGATTTGAGAGTCAGTCATGAATTTTTTATTTCAATTTCAGACTGTGTAGGTACACTATCTTTCGCTTTGTTATATCTCAAAGTACACAATGAAATCATATATATATGCTTTAATTATTTTGTCATATTATAGATATATAATATATGTATAATATATTTATTTTATTTATTAATTTTACTTTTTAGTAGCCTGTGGGACTGTCTGACAGCTTACACAGTCCCCCTGCTGGCAGCTCCTAGAGTCCTATTGTGGCGATGTGATCATGGTAATCACATGGCCCTGGAGGGCCAGGGTGGCCGGAGCTGCTGCAGGGGGACTATGTGGGTCTCCGGCAGTCCCCCCCAACTGATCGCGACTGATCACCGTTCCACGTTAGTCCAGGGCTCTTATTTGCTGTGGACATACTGGGTACGTCTGAGGTCCTTAA